AGTCCTGAACAATGTAAGTCCCTTTTGCCTATGCGTTGTGATATTATCATACATGTATGGTTCTGCAATGAATCGCATTTTGGAGTGCTGGGTCTGGCTAATGCTAATTGTTGCGTAATGACCATTATTCTCAATTTACCTCTTCATGTCGCTTGCAATCCTATCTTTAGAACTTCAATTCCTGCTTAAATTTTACTTTCTTATTCCGTTTTCTGTGCCTTTTGAATTCAAACATTTTCAGCTATCTTTTGCCGTTGATTGGAACATTTCCTTCAGAATATGAAAAGATACTAAATGCTCTAAAGATGCAAACTCTACTAGTAGCGAAAAATAAAAAATTAAATCAAGAACATTAATGGAACATAAAAGCACCCCAATGTATCCTTGGCTGTTCTAATATTTTTGACGGCTAGTCTTAATTTGTTTCCATGTCAAATGATGTACTGAACTAATCTGCACAATTCCTTTGATAATTGAATCCAAGTTGAACAGTTTTTAACTTCTTATTTTCATTTTCAAGTATGCTGGGTTGTACAAAATGTTGGCAACAAGGCAATAAATTTTCAAAACTACGACCAATGTTTGTTCGAAGTATCATATAAATAATGACACGGGGATTAAAAGACTAGTTTTGTTTTTGTACTTTTGAGTTTCATCCCCACTTTTAGTCTTTATATTTTCTAATATTTAAATTTATTTCTGGTACTTTTCATAAATTTTAAAATTAGTCTTAATTGTTGGATGGAAATTACTTTTTATGAATAACAGCTAACAGCTGTTTTCTCTGTGCAGCAAGCAAAACTTTTTTCTGGGTTCAAGTTCTTCTTTACAGCGGATTTCTTACCTTCATACAAAGGATATCTCCAACAACTTGTTACTGCAGCTGGAGGAACTATTCTGCTTAGAAAACCAGTTTCAAGCAATCAAAACACCCCTTGTTCTTCACCTAATTGCCAAGTTTTCATCATTTACAGTCTTGAGATTCCTGATCAATGCGATCCAGGTGAAAGGAGTAAGATTCTCAATTACAGACGTTCCGATGCCGAGTCGCTTGCTAAGTCGGCTGCAGCCAAAGTTGCAACCAATCTATGGCTTTTGAACTCGATTGCAGGCAGTAAATTGAGCAGTCGTCTTGTGGAGTAACTGTGAGCCATGTATGTATATTTTCCTACTCAGCTCATTTCAGTTGTATTTCTGCTAGAAATAAGCATTTGAAGGCATATACAACTAACTCTTGAGAGAGAATGGCCAAACATGTCAAGCTAAATGTTATATCATATCATATCATAAACCATGTGATACAGATTTGGTATCTATTGATTTATAAATGTATTTAGTGTTATTTGCTTCTCTGTCTTCTTATGATCGTAGATTCATCGTCCATGCTTACTCATTGATGGTTTTCTCCACTTGGTTTGTTTCGATTTTTTCTTTTGATTAGATGAAATGTTTTCGATTTTTTTTTTTACTTATGATCTGGTATCCTTCTGTTTATGATTTAATTTCAAAATACTGTGTGAAAGGATACGATTTATTCTAAAATTAGTCAGTATAAAAAATTAATGCACGACTGAGAAAACCTTGATTGGAGATTGAATCCCTTGCTGGGGTAAAAAATTTTGAGATTTGATTCTCTAATCTTTTTTTGGAGAGATTTTTTTTTTTTTTTCAATTATGGAATTCAATATCACTTGGTGAAGAGATTTGATTCTTAAGTTGATTGAATTAAAATTACTAGGAAAAAACTACTAATGAAGATCCTTAACCTATCTAAAACAAGTGATGTATTCAAGATTTGTTGTTATCAAATGATAGGAAGTTACGTTAGATGATATGATTTTTGATTTTTGAAAAAATATCTGTGGATTTCATACCTCAATATTTCAAAAAATTTCCTATATATTTGATCCGGGTATGAGTAATTTCCCCAAGAAAAACACTGTTCTGTTTGATCGTTTCTACTCCCATGGAGTCGTGCCCCATCTCCGAACAGCCGGCGACGAACTGGCTTGATCTGCCCGATGACCTCATGATCACGATTCTGCTGAAGTTATGCGCCTTTGATATCCTCGTCAACGTGCAAAACGTCTGCTCGTCCTGGCGTAGGATCTGCAAGGACCCTTTCTTGTGGCGTGTCGTCGATATCCACTATATGGATAGTCGCGTGCAGTTGAGAACAGACCGCTTTGCGGAGATGATGTGCATGCAGGCTGTCAACCTTAGTTGTGGTCAATTGGTTGATATCAATATTGAGTCCTTCGGCACCGATGACTTGCTCCTCCATATCTCTCAGAGGTACGTTCTTATTCTCTACTCCCTCTTTTTTAGAGTTGTTTTTCGCAATTTTGTCATACTCGTATCTGCCGGTAAGTTTTCGGCTCGTATTACGATTTGTTTCCGAGTACATACACTCAAAATATACAATGCCTTCATACATACAAGCTTAGATTCATTATTGTTTAAGGTGTTTTTGTTCTATGTAGCTAGTCTGAAACTTTTGGACCAAATTTGAATTTGAACCTCCGTTCATGTTATAGCTGTAGGTGAATTGCATTTACATCGATAAGATAAATCTGAAGTTGTGAGAATAGTTCACATCTTTTGTGTCGTTTTGCCAAATTCGTAGCAGTTATGGATCCGAGATAATCTAAAGAATATCTATTATGTTCGATTCAACATATAATTCTAGGAAAGTGACAATTATTTCCTTGATTTTGTTTGAGGTTTGTATATGTAATTTGTTGCAGCTCAAAACGACTTAGAAGACTCCGGATAGTATGTTGCTCTGACATCTCTGCTGACGGAATCACTAAAGCAGCTTTGAAATTTCCATTGTTGCAACATCTTGAAATCTCTGGCTCTGCATATTGTTTGAAAACTTTGGCAACTGTTGGATGTTGTTGTCCTCGTCTGAAAACATTGAAGCTTAATTACAACAGAAGACGGTCTGAATTTGAACGGGATGAGGAAGCCTTGGCTATTGCTGAAAATATGCCTAATTTACGTAACCTTCAGATACGTGGCAACCTTCTAACTGAATGGGGCTTGCAGGCCATTCTTGATGGGTGTCCTCATTTAGAATATCTTGATTTACGCTGGTGTTACCATATAGGTTTTGCAGGACAGATGAACCTCTTACGTTCTGGAAAGATTAAAAGTTTCCGCTTGCCTGGTGAGTCCTTTGATGAGTCTGACAGTGTGAGCGAAACTTTTAGTTACGTTGGTGGCGATTCTGATGACAATTTCTCCGACGATTTCGACTCCGACACCAACTATTTCGACTCGAATGCCTGCCCTCCCTTTCCCACACACTGCAGGTTCATAAACGAAGCAGAGGAGCCTCGCAACTGCCATTTTGATTCTCTCTTCTGCAGGCAAGTAAGTTGTTGGTGTGTTCATTATAAGTTGCTTAGTAAGGAGAGAGTTGTAGGGAGTTGTTTAATTTTCTTTTCTTGTTTAATTTTTCTATTTTGGAAGTGTATTTGGATATGATCTACTTAGTATTTAGTTTAGATTCCATTAATTAGCGATGATGAATGGTGCAATTTTGTAAATGCTTTCCTTTCCCTTGTTTGTGTTTCAATTCTATCCAGATTAAACCAAAATTGAGCATTTTTTGTGGTTAGGGTTTATTTATAACTTTTATGTACAAAAAGAGCGAAATTTGCTTAGATTAAACGAAACGGCGTATTCAAGTAAATATTAGTAACCAAAAAATCTTCGTGGGCCGACCAGGCCCAATTAACATTAATGGGCTTAAGAGTGAACAAAATTGAGCAGCCCAGAGAATTTCCAGGCCCAGCAACGCCTGGCCTACATGCCCCCCAAACCAAAGCCTTATCCGTTGAGAGATATCCAATAGAACGGGGCCACGTAAGCAAGCAGGATCTAAAGCTAACAAGCTGTATCCAAATCCACCAATCAGAGGGCGCAAATTTAGTCCACGTGGCTGAGTGGATAGTCGAATTAGTACACTCTCTCTCTTTCCTTCTCTGAAACCCATATATGCTTTAAACAAACCAACAAACACAAAAGAAATAAATTAAAAATAAATTCAGTGGCTATAGCAGCAAGAAAATGGCAGCTACAATGATGACTTCGATCCCTCAGTTTTGTGGGCTGAGGCCAGCTGTTCCAGTGGCGGCTCCGGTTCGCAGCCTGGTATGTCCACGTCGCCGCCGTATCCGTCGGCATTCTTATTCTCTGTGATCGGAAATAGCTGAAATGTGTTTGATTTTGCAGGTGGCGGTGCCGCCCTTGAAGCGGAGAGGTGGCGGCGGCGCTCTCAGTGCCCGCTGCGATTTCATTGGCTCCCCCACTAATTTGGTAATCACTCTCTCAATTTCCACACTATCGAATTTTGTCGTTCCCTAAGAAGTTCAATTTTGTTTTAAAAAAATAATAGATCTGATTTCTAGTTGGGATTAATTAATAGTTTAGGATACGATCGTAGATATTGGATGTGAAAAATATATCCTATGAAATTACCAAAAACAAAGAATTAAATTACCCGGTTGAAGCAAATGGCGTAAAAAAAGACGAATGATATGTGTACACGTGGCGTAGATAATGGTGACGTCGACAAGCCTGATGCTATTCGCTGGACGGTTCGGATTGGCTCCATCGGCGAACAGGAAATCAACGGCGGGGCTGAAGCTGGAGGTGAGGGACTCCGGGTTACAGACGGGTGACCCAGCGGGCTTCACCCTCGCTGATACTTTGGCGTGCGGCGTCGTCGGCCACATCATTGGCGTCGGTGTCGTTCTTGGCCTTAAGGGCATTGGTTCTCTCTAAATGTTCTCTGTTTTCTTTGTTTGAATTAAAAATAACTTTTAAAAAGTTCTGTATGCTTCTTCGTTGAGTATATATATATTATTATTAGATTGAGCTCCCAATTTTATTGGTAATGGAGAAAGTTATATATATATATATATATATATATATATACATACATATATATATATATATCTATGCGGCGAATTGAGAAGGCGGAGATTTAAACCAATTTATACCCGCTTTCTTCTTCCACTCCAAACTTCGCGCTCCATTCGTCGTTTTACAATTTGATTCGCTATAAAGACAACAAATTTCGAGGTCTGATGCTTTTCTGATCTCTCTCCGACAATGGAGATCTTCTTCTATCTCGTTTTTGGGGCACTGGGCTTCATTGTTGCAGCCATCGAGCTGAGTAAAACCAACAGGGACAGGATCAACGCCACCACCGCTTTCAATTCATTCAAGAATAATTACCTTCTTGTTTACTCTCTCATGATGGGTACGTTCACCAATTTCTTTCTCTTCTTCCGCTTTAGATCTCAATCTTAATCTCACTCGACGTCCGCATTCTTGGTTTTGTTTGTTTATTCGCTCCGACCATATCCGTGTTTAAGTTTCTCGGATTTGTCGTGGATCCGATCTAGTTTCTTCCGTTTTTTTAGACTGGATGATTGGATCGTGTATGCCATTTGGATTGAATCTGTTTCCAATTTTTTTCATATACTGGCGTGGTCGCTTTGTCGGTATGTTTCTCGTATTGGATCAGAAGCAATTGTCCAATCGTCAGAAGCCGCACTCCCTACCGTTGTATCCAGAAAGTCCTAACGCTTACTGTTGGCAATAAAGCAAACACTATCTTTCTTTAGGAACGTATTCCAAATGTTGAATGCATAAAATCGTGAAATTTGTCCAATAAACATACCTCGTTCCTATATGCTAGAATTTTAAAAAATGATTCGGTCACGGTGTCTGAATCATGTCATATCTATGTCTCTTATCCGTATCCGTGCTTTATGAAAGTACTTGGGAAGGTTTAGGCCCCTCCCCCCGTAAACAATTTTGTTGTCTGCAACCTTTCTTTAAATGGACAAAAATTATAGCACTTTGTTCTTCCTCGAAGCCTTTTGGGCACCAACCGTTTTGTGTTATAGACATTATTCAGAAATTTGATTAGTTAGTTCTGATTTCCTTTGTAAACATTTTCGGTAAGAAGTTCACCTACAAATACAATTAGCTACTTTAGTTTCTCATAATCACAGTAAGTATAAACTATTCCCATCAAATTTTAGTCCTACATTTTTTTTTTACTTCTTGGGCAGTAAAGTTCTGATGCATATCCATGCTTTTTCTGGCGATAGCTGGGGATTGGTTGCAGGGCCCTTATGTGTACTATCTTTACAGTCAATATGGCTTTGGAAAAGGGGAGATTGGACAGCTTTTTATAGCTGGTTTTGGCTCCTCTATGTTGTTTGGGACAATTGTCGGATCACTTGCTGATAAACAGTAATTCTTCGCTTTTGAGCTCTGTTGTTACATCACCATGCTTTTTCAAAGGAAAAGGAATATTAGTATTGTTTCCATGCTTGTTCATGCAGAGGTCGAAAGAGAGCTTGTGTGACGTATTGTCTCACTTATATACTGAGTTGCATCACAAAGCATTCACCCCAATATAGAATTTTGATGTTGGGCCGCATTTTGGGAGGCATTGCCACTTCTCTCCTCTTTTCTGCATTCGAGTCGTGGCTTATTGCTGAACATAACAAGGTAACTCATTGTTGCTGAACATAACAAGATTTTACGCCTCTGCTTTTAATTTTGTTTTACCAATTGAGACTTTGTGTTTGGTCATGTCAATATGGACTTTCTTAACGATGGTGTTTCTCAAAAGCTAATGACCGTTTATTGCTATTAGTATATATCTTGAAAGTCTTCTTGTTATTCTCAACAGAGGGGCTTTGAGCAACAATGGCTATCAGTTACTTTCTCAAAGGCAATATTTCTTGGCAATGGTCTTATTGCCATTTTATCTGGGCTTTTTGGGAACGTACTAGTTCACTCCTTGGATCTTGGGGCGGTAGCGCCCTTTGATGCGGCTTCTTGCTTTCTTGCCCTTGGTATGATCATCATCTTATCTTCGTGGACAGAGAACTATGGAGATCCATCTGAAAACAAAGACCTTCTCACCCAATTCAGGGGTGCAGCAGTAGCCATTGCTTCTGGTAGAGTCCTGACTGCGTTTTATTTATTTTTTTATAAGTTCCGGAAAATGAATATACTTCACTATATGAACCTTTTGACACAGGATCTATTTTCATATATAGATGTTCTAGTAGTTGTTTTGGGGCACAGGATCTATTTTCTTGTCCACTCAATTCGTCTTGGTCGTGGATCATATAGTTTCATGAAGTCTTATGTTTGGTTGAAGGGATTCTCCCCCATTATTACACCATCTTTATTTAGCATGTCTCCGCTGTTGATCAGATGAGAAAATTGCCCTCCTTGGTGCTATTCAGTCCCTGTTTGAAGGTTCAATGTATACCTTCGTCTTCCTTTGGACTCCTGCTCTGAGCCCCAAGAATGAGGAAATTCCCCATGGCTTCATCTTTGCAACATTCATGTTAGCTTCTATGTTAGGAAGTTCCCTAGCATCTAGGTTACTGGCCCGCGCATCATTAAGGGTGGAGAACTATATGCAGATTGTTTTCGTTGTCTCAGCTGCATCTCTTGTTCTCCCAATAGTTACAAGTGTAAGTTTGTTCCATGCCTTACCCCCCCCCCCCCCCCCCCCCCCCCCCCCCCCCCCCCCCCCCCCCCCCCCCCCCC